CAGCCAGCAGGGGCAAGCTTCTGTGAGGTCATGGTTAGAATCTGTGTGTGCACAGCAGACAGACTGTAGTCTAAATGTTCATTTCCCTCCTGACGTCCACCTCCCCCTTTGTCTTGCTGACAGAACACTAATTATTTTTTTCCAAGTGTGCACTGCTTTGGGAAATGACCTCATTTTCAGGTCAGTAGTGAGTTCTGAGTAGTCTAAACCAGTCTTGCTAATCCCTTGACCCATACTAGTGACCATGTTTGGGACGATCCAGGCCCTTCTAGAGTTCACTGCACTACTGAGTTTATCAGCTCTAAAGCCACTCCATTGTTGGACTGCCTGTTATGGGATATGATACATTTCCTTTCTATTTAAGCCAGTTGAATTGGGGTTTTCTGTTTCTCCAACCAAAATCTCTTCATGGGCACACAGGCATTTCTTTCCCTTAATAATGACCAAAGGAATTCATTCACTAAAGACTTTGGGCAGATATTGGGAAAAAGAAGAAGTATTTGATAAGAGCTTTTTAGTAGCAAACAAAATCACCTCCGTATTATATTCCATGATATTTTTGTGTTCACTGTAACTGTAATCAGCAGTTTAAAAAAATCTTTTTGTTCCTCTCTGGCTAGAAGGGAGTAGCAGGCTCCATCCATAATATTATGGAGTAATAGGCTCCATTCGTAATAGGCTCTGTGGAACATTAGTTCCATGGCATGTGGCCAATTCCTAAGACTGCAGTGACTTAGGTGGCTGGAAGCTTATTTCTGTCTCTCATAAAATGATGTCTGGAGCTGGGATGCCTAACTCCACCAAGCCTTTAGTTGTCCTCATCTTCAGGGTGTAAGGTGGCTCAGCACCATGCCCACATTTCAACCAGAAACAAAGGGGAAAGAGAAGAGGACATTCCCAATCTCTTTAAAGGTCAAATCTGGAAGTAGCACAGAACATTGCACTCATATTCCAACAGAGAAAAAAGTCACTTGTGAGGCTCCGTGGCCAGCCCCCAAAGCAGTTTGGAAATGTCTTTCTTCTGGGTGCAATGTGCCCAGCTAGAAACTATTTCTATGAAGAAAAGAGCAAATGGATGGTGAGCGGACAAACATCAGTCTCTGCCTCTGTCTTCTTTTACCGTTGCTCAAATGCCAGCCACTTGTTTCCAGTCTCAGAGTTTCATATTTCCATGCAGGAAAAAAAAAGTCTCCTGGCAAGGTGCTGCTGCTTTTTATTTTTTTTTTTAATTTTTTTTTTTTATTTTTTTTTGAGACGGAGTTTCGCTCTTGTTACCCAGGCTGGAGTGCAATGGCGTGATCTCGGCTCACTGCAACCTCTGCCCCCTGGGTTCAGGCAATTCTCCTGCCTCAGCCTCCTGAGTAGCTGGGATTACAGGCACGCGCCACCATGCCCAGCTAATTTTTTGTAATTTTTATTAGAGACGGGGTTTCACCATGTTGACCAGGATGGTCTCGATATCTTGACCTCATGATCCACCCATCTTGGCCTCCCAAAGTGCTGGGATTACAGGCTTGAGCCACCGCGCCCGGCCGCTGCTTTTTATTTCTAACAGAATTGGATATTTCCTTCATGATCTTTTTTTTTTTTAACAATACTTTTCACTGTATATTCCCAGGCATAAGAAATTAGACCTCTGGCTCTCAACAATACCCATAAAATGGTATTCACCCCTTCTATTAAAAGGTGTTGCCACAATAACCTTCTGAAGTTGTGCAGATAGAGCTAACATTCAGTATTGCCGTAAACTGAAAGCAGAAGTACAATTCTAGAAGATTCTCTAGTCTGATTGACATTTACACCTGCTGATCATTTTGTTCTCATGTCACGTACAAATGCACTGCTAAACCATGTAGAACCACATGTACCACAGACGAAAGCTTTTGGAGCTACAAATTGAGTATGATATTTCACGTCGAACTTCTAGAATATCAGCTTCTGATTTACATTTCTAACAGAAGTCCTGGGAGACTTAGCTTTTATTCTTCTGCTACAATCACTAGAAATCATGCTGTTTTTAGCAACTAAGCTATTCTCATAAGAAACGTTCACCAAGGGGAAAAATTCAGTATATTCTTCCTTATATTTAAGATAAATCGGTCGTACTCATAGTGGAAAACTGTTTATTCTGCATGCATTCATTGGTTATCCAATATGTATGTGGCTCTCTGCTAGATGCTACAGGCACACAGAGGTGATGACACAGCCACCGTGCTCGAGAAACACGTCATCTAATGGGAAGACAAGACCCTTCTATGTGAAACAGCATGGCCACATGGTAACATGTAATATTGCCGGGGGACATCCCACAGAAATTAGGGCCCTCAAACCCAGTTCCCACATCACCTCGAACACACCTCGTAGTCACGCATGTCACGTTGCTCATGTGCCTACCACTTGCCCACCACGTGGAGCTGCTGTGGGGTGAGCAGGGGCTGCCTTCTATTAATTTTTGTAACCTCAGCAACAACCCCTGCATTCAGCACACTCATCCTTGTATCATGAATGATGTGGTGAGAAAGGAAAAGGTTTGGAATCGAGAAATGGGGAGCTTCATGAAGGGCACTGAGGAATGGAGAGATTTGGCCTGGCAGTGGTGACTGAAATATTTCAGGCGGAAGATTCTGCATCCAAGTGAAGGTTCAGAAATCGGGGCAGCTGCAGGAAACACGGCCCTGGAGGAATGAGTGGGTGACGGGGAGGAGACATGGGCTCCTGGTGCCTGATCAAGAGCCAGAGAGGGAAAGGGAGACCGGCCGTGCGGGCTAAGGATTTGGGACTTCATCCTACAGATCATGGAGCCCAGGCAAGGGCTTCCAGGGGAAGTGACAGGATCAGATCTTCTGGAAAAAGCAATCTAGTGTGAGGGTGAGGAAGACAGGTGGAAAGGGGGTTCACTGAAGTCACAGAGACCACTGTGATGGCGAGTGTCTTGTGTGAATGCACAGCCCTCCTACCTCATAAAGCAGGAATCGCTATTTGTCTTTTCTCCTTCTGCTAGTGAAGCAGCATCGTAGCCTGGGGTAAATCCTCAGGGTCCCTTGTCTCACACCAAGAGACACATGTGGGTAGGTTAAGGAGCGGAAACTTCAATAGGCAGAAGGAAGCAGAGAGGAGAGCAGCTCCTTGCAAGCTAGAGAGGTGCCTGAAAAAAGGGGGCGAGGCGGCAGACCACAGCAGATTGTACAGGCAGCCTTGAGGAGGCAGTGTCTGATTCAACGTAGGTCTCACAGATCAGTTTGACCAGGTGTGATGTTTACGCAGAACGCGGAGCAGGCTGGTGGCCCCACCCTAATCTCATTATGTAAATGGGCTTTCCACTTTGTGGGGCCATCTTGTCTGCTCCTTGCTGTACATGTGACTGGCAAAAAGAGAAGATGGAGCCACCATTTTGAACATGGCTAGTCCCAGGTAGTATATCCTATGGGCATGACCGCCGGCATGTAGCTGTGCAAGCTTCCAGCTTGCTTGTTTGTGTCTGCAGCTCGATTTTATAGGCTTCTCTTTGTTGGAAAAGAAAATGATTTGGAGGCTGCTTTTTATTAAAAGAAAAACTTCACCGAGGACTTTCATACCCTCCCTGTCTGCCTAAGTAATTTCTTTTCAACTCCTAGATCACTAGTTTTTCAGAAATTATTTTAAGAATTTTAGTTTTGTAATATCATATGCATTTAAGACTGATACCTCAAGGATGTGGAAGATTTAGATCATTCTTTTATTTTAGAGATTATTTAGAAATTGAATTTATAGCCACTCTGTATAATGTTTAATAGTTAATATGGTACACTTTAGATGATTCTTTTATTTTAGAGATTATTTAGAAATTGAATTTATAGCCACTCTGTATAATGTTTAATAGTTAATATGGTACACTATAGATGATTCTTTTATTTTAGAGATTATTTAGAAATTGAATTTATAGCCACTCTGTATAATGTTTAATAGTTAATATGGTACACTATAGATGATTCTTTTATTTTAGAGATTATTTAGAAATTGAATTTATAGCCACTCTGTATAATAATAGTTAATATGGTACACTATAGATGATTCTTTTATTTTAGAGATTATTTAGAAATTGAATTTATAGCCACTCTGTATAATAATAGTTAATATGGTACACTATAGATGATTCTTTTATTTTAGAGATTATTTAGAAATTGAATTTATAGCCACTCTGTATAATAATAGTTAATATGGTACACTATAGATGATTCTTTTATTTTAGAGATTATTTAGAAATTGAATTTATAGCCACTCTGTATAATAATAGTTAATATGGTACACTATAGATGATTCTTTTATTTTAGAGATTATTTAGAAATTGAATTTATAGCCACTCTGTATAATAATAGTTAATATGGTACACTATAGCTGATTCTTTTATTTTAGAGATTATTTAGAAATTGAATTTATAACCACTCTGTATAATAATAGTTAATATGGTACACTATAGATGATTCTTTTATTTTAGAGATTATTTAGAAATTGAATTTATAACCACTCTGTATAATAATAGTTAATATGGTACACTATAGATGATTCTTTTATTTTAGAGATTATTTAGAAATTGAATTTATAGCCACTCTGTATAATAATAGTTAATATGGTACACTATAGATGATTCTTTTATTTTAGAGATTATTTAGAAATTGAATTTATAGCCACTCTGTATAATAATAGTTAATATGGTACACTATAGATGATTCTTTTATTTTAGAGATTATTTAGAAATTGAATTTATAACCACTCTGTATAATAATAGTTAATATGGTACACTATAGATGATTCTTTTATTTTAGAGATTATTTAGAAATTGAATTTATAACCACTCTGTATAATAATAGTTAATATGGTACACTATAGATGATTCTTTTATTTTAGAGATTATTTAGAAATTGAATTTATAACCACTCTGTATAATAATAGTTAATATGGTACACTATAGATGATTCTTTTATTTTAGAGATTATTTAGAAATTGAATTTATAGCCACTCTGTATAATAATAGTTAATAACACTATAGAATGTTTATACTCACCCATCTTTATTATGCTGCACAATTTGCTGCCTTTTACTTTTTAATCTAAAAATATGAGTTTAATATTTGAAAGTCTTAAATAGCAAAATTTTCTTACTGTTTCTCATCATCCACCATGGGATCCAACACACATATAATTGTATAAGAGGGTTTCATATTGAAAAGTCCCACAAATGACGAGATTTCCAGATGGTATTTCTAAGAGGCTTTCTACCAGTATCTGAGACGTGGTAGCAGGTGTAAGGGGCAGACAGTGACAGCCACCCTTCTTGACTCAGATATCCCAGCATCCGCATGTGTGCACCAGTGAATATGAAAAAGTAAAAGCCGTGAAAGACTTTCTAACCATGACATTCCAGCCGTATCACCATGTGAGCGTCACCCTCCTCTCATAACCCATGGTTTCTATTTAGCAAAGATTCTTTTTCTGAACTAATTTATTTCAAAAATACAAACAAAAGCAAGTTAAAAAAAAACCCACAAAGCTAATTTATAACAACCCCAGATATTTTCAAAGTCTGTAAAGCCTTTATCATTAGTACACTGAGAATCATGGCCCACTTGGAACAGATAGAGTGTGGAGTAAACTCCTGCATAGGGAGCTGGGTCCAGACTCTCACACACACATACACACACACACACACACACACTCTCTCTCTCTCTCTCTCTCTCTGTCTCTCAGACATAAACACCCATGTACACACACCTGACCCACAAACTAGATCCAGAAATATATTTCTTCCCATTCCAATGAAAAAGTTATTTTTTTACTTAAGTGAACCCTGGAATTTGTAGATTTTAACTCAGTTAGTTTTACACAAATCCCAAAGTCTCTAGGCCAAATTTTCTGCAAGGAGAAGCATTTTCTACTTATATAGATAGATTATATATATGTATGTATGTATGTATGTATGTATGTATGTATGTATAGAGAGACAGAGAGAGAGAGAGAGAGGTAGGATGGATGGATAGATAGGTAGGTAGATAGATATCTAATAGAGCTAATCATAGTTAAAATTTTAAATTGAAATTAGTTTTTTCAGGGAAAGGTATGAAGGTCAAGACTTGCAAAATTTTACCCAAAACCCCTTCTTTATTGAACACTTTTGGCATCTATCTAATTTCCTTGTAAGTGGTGTTTGCAAACACTTTTTCTACTTATCCCTAAAAGTAGAATCTATTGTAACAGTTCCAAAACATTTCTCAAAGCTATTGTTTTATACTCTTGTCCTTCTCATCCCTGAGCACCTCATTTCCCAAGCCTGGATAACAGGTGCAGGTAATCCACCACAGAGCTAGTATTCAGGTGTACAATTCCCTTGCTGGTAAGACTGACATGATTTTTTTCCAGAGCACCCTGACTCCAAGGGACAGGTTCCCTGGAGCAGCAGGGATAGTGCTTCTAAATATCCTCTACACATTTGCAGTGTATATGTGTATGTCCACTCACTCACACAAGCCCCCTAAAGAGAAAATCCTCTCTTTTAAACCTATTTTGGATTCCGCCTAGGTTTGTTTCTTTGGGGTGTTCTTACTGGGGCACCTACCTTGGGACACTTTTAACTCATTTAATTGATTTCTTCCAACACCAGTCATTAAAATGTGGAATGCATCAGTTTCCTTGGCAGTGTTTCTGGGCGAGGGTGGGGGGTGGCATTTGCACAGTTATTTTTAAGGCTGGGCAAATGATGGAACTTAAGGAATTGCATTCAGGTAAAATATTATTATCAGATGTTGAGGAGTACTATGTTTTGTTTGAAGCAATAAAATATCCTGTACGTAGGTGAAAATATGAAACTGAAATTTGATGTGTTAGGATTTTGGTAAAAATTTCAGTTATCATTAGAAAGGAACTGTTGAAGCTCTTCAAGAATCGGTCTGTTCGCTGAAGTAGAGCAACATGACAGCTTTTTCTCTTAAAAGAAACAAGCCTTGGCTGGTGGCTCACACCTGTAATCCCAGCACTTTGGAAGACCAAGACAGGTAGATCACCTGAGGTCAGGAGTTCGAGACCAGCCTGACCATCATAGTGAAACCCCATCTTAACTAAAAATGCAAAAAGTAGCCAGGTGTGGTGACACACGCCTGTAATCCCAGCTACTTGCTGGGGGGGGCTGAAGCAGGAGAAATGCTTGAACCTGGGAGGTGGAGATTGGAGTGAGCAGAGATCGCACCCTTGCACTCTAGCCTGGGCAACAAGAGTGAAACTCCGGCTCAAAAAAAAAGACAAAACCACAGAAGCAAGCCTTATAGATCTTCTTAGACATGGAATGAGGCTGCTCCAATTCCTATTGGTCTCCAGAGGGGTTAAGAAAATTGAAAGGGCAATTTCTTCTAAATGTATGAGTTTCAAACCAGGGTACCTGATACAGAAGATGATATGCAGTGTCACAGGAGAGAGAGAAGGTGCATTTCCCGAGACACTGGAGCATGTCTGGGTGAGGAATGATTCTTTTATATTTAACCAGACACATGAATCTTCAAAAGATGTCTAAATTTACAACCCTTCCTTTGGGCTATGACCTCCAGACAATCGAAAATATAGTTTTCGTTCTCTTTCCTGTGCTGTCCAGGAACATCTGTGAGGGAAAGTTTGAGAAGTGTCCATATCAGTGATGGCAAGAAGCCCACAGTCATGGTCCAGTGAGAAAAAGTTGGCTGAAATATCAGAGTGGTGTGAAATGAATAAAGGGTATTTTTAATGCTTCTCATGTAAAATGCTTTTTCTACCCTGCTGTTTTTATAACATACTCAATAAGTTTCACTGCTCTACAAAGCAGATTAATGTTCCTGTATTATTTTATTTATACACCGAGGGAAAGGAACTGGTCCCACAAGGACTGACATTAATTTGTATCAAATGATATTTTTCTTCATCATCAAAATGTATGCAATTAAATCTCCACTTCTCAAATGTGAGAAATACATGAAAGAGTGTTGGAGCCATGCAGAAGCTTCCAGCAAGAGATAACAATCAGTTGTACCAATAATGTTTGTAAATCTTTTTTGATTTCAAAAATATTTTTGTATCTTGTTTAGCAGAAGACAACTTACATGTCAGACAGCCTTTCCCAGCACAGCCTCACTTAAACTGAGCTGCCCTCATTCTATGAGTAGGCTATCCTTCATCCAAATATGGAGGTGCAGATGTTTTATTTCTTGAAACTGAAACTGTAAGTTTAAAGAGAAACCGGCCATGTCCCAGTGCTGTGAGATCATAAGGAAGCCATTTAACCTTTCCCGTGCCACTGTTTCCCATGCCTCTGCAAAAGGAGGCCTCTTCCTTCTCTAAGACTTGGAGCTTTCTTGTGTGCTGGTATTGATATTACCAGAGTAGATGGGCTAGCGTGTGACTTGCCTCACTAAGCCTGTGAACTTGGTGCTTGCTGCGGCCCCAGGCAAGGCAGCTGAAGGGACACGGCCATCAGCCACAGCCAGGTGTCACATCATCTCCATCCTTGTCTTCTCACCTTTTCTAAGGTATCCACTTTCAGCAATCACTCATCAGATCAGATGTGGGAAGATGAGACTCTGGCCTTTCAATACCCTAAATTTTACTGGAACAGGAAGACATGTGCTGGCCAGGGAGAGGAACCCAGGGTGGCATCTGTGGTTGTGGCTCGTATATCTCGTGGACACAAGACAGCTGTTTAAAGTAGCAGACTCCTAAATTAAGATATTCAAACAAGACTGTTCTTGCGAACATCCACACAATAATTCAAACAAAACGAGGCGGGGCTCCTGCCTTCTAAGCTAGAACCATGAGGCAGGCAAACTTGACTTCATCCGCCCCTGGCGCACAGTATGAGGACTCTGGGAAGGCCTTATTTACTTAGCCCCCTTTTTCAGTTGTGGCTTAATTTCCAAGAATTTTTATCCAGTCTTAGGTTCTCATTGGACTTCCCCTAATCATTCAAGACAAATAGTCACCTCCCCAGGAGATAATTACACCATCTCCCGAGGCAGTGTTTAATTGCTTTTACTGACAAGAAGTTACTCAATGTCTAACCTTACCCCTTTTAGTGCAGAAATCTAAATCCCATGGATCTCTCAACAATGTTTTACCACATTCTTGAAAATGATCAGATGTTCAATGTACTGTTGTACCAGGGAGTCAGTTGCATGTTATTTGAGGGGGCCCTATTTGTACACAACCCCATATCCACGTGGACACTCCATTGAAAAAGACCCTGCTGCTCTGCTATGATTTCTAGGATCTTTTCTCCGTGGGAGCTCTGTCAGGTTCCTGTCTTATTTCCCATTATCACTGGGGTGCTAATGGATACCATTGAGGGCTTCGAGACTGCTCGCCTCTCCAAAAGGGTTAAGGCATCACCTTTCCTTCATGGAAGGGGTGCATGAGGAGCCACATTGGGTTCCCACAGCTGTGCACCCACTACAGCTCCGGGTAACTCTGTTTCTTTAACACGTCGGGAGATATGTGTAGCTAGGAGGTTTGCTAGTATTCGTTAATTAATAGAAAGAGAAACAGAAGCCACCAACCAGACTAAAAGCCTATCTCAATATGACATGGCTAAGTAAACTCACAAATGAAAAATCTTTCCCCTGAGGCTATCAATGACATTTTATGCATGTATTATCTCTATGGAAATTCCTCTGTCCAACGAACATATGTTAAGCCTTTATATGCAAAGTATTTTGAGGGATATAAAGATTTCTGAAACACTGTCTCACGTTAGGAGAATTTATTCAAGTTAATTCTAAGTCTCTGGGGACTATGTGGGGGAAAAGAAATGTTTAAAAGCAGTGCTGTGTTCAAGGAGGCAGTAATGCCTGTGGCCTTTGGGTAAACTGAGCTGACCTAGAGAAATGGTGTCTCTGAAGGGCCATCAGTCTTCCCCAAGGGTTCTTCAGACAGCTGATTCAGTGGCACTGTCAGAAAAGAGACTCCCGCCCTATAGAGGCCAGTCTCATAAAGAAGACTGGGGAGCCAGAGAATTCTGATTAGCAATAGCTTGGCCTGACCAGGAATATTAGAGTGTCAAGGAAAGAGGAAACTCTCACTCTGTCAGTAAAAGGAGGTGCAAGGGAAGAAGATGCAATGAGTGTCCTCTTTGCCTCCCCACCTTTTAGATTTCACAAGGTGCTACCCATGGGCAAATGTTCCTCACCCCACTGCTCAGGCAGAGAGAGGCCACAGCACTTGGCCAGCAGAAGTCATCTTGCTGTGAATTAGAAAGCACCCCTCCCTCATGTGGGCACAGCACTCAGCAGATTGTAAGGTCTGGGGAGGTGAGTGCCTGATTTCCCAGTCCCTCTGACCTTATAGGTGGAATTGTTTGTGCAAAGCAGAAATTACCCAAATGTACACCAAAGAACTGACTCCGAGATTATACTTGGTGCTGCTGGGGCTCAAGACACTTCACCCCAAAATATGATGGTAGGAGACCAGACCATGCCAGCCCAGGATGTCTTTGGCATATTTTGAGCTGGTTGGTCTGAGAAACTGCTGACACAGGAGTGGCTCTGAATAGCTGTTCTTTTGTAAAAGAAATCCATATCTATAAAGCAAAACAATTGTCATAGGAATCTCATGAACCAGACAAGATCTTATCACAGGAGATAAGATTGGAGGTGATACCTTACAGGGTATTACCTGTCATAGGGGATGACAGGTTCTTCTGAGAGATGTACTGAAACAACTTCTGCTACTCATGAGGCTTTCTATCTGAATAACAAGACAGCCTTGCTTCATCCTACATTTCCTACCCTCACCTTTCCGTAACCTGTCACCACCTCCCAGCCAGAGGCCCCAAACCCCCATTCCTTTCTGTAGCTCAGGGGTCCTATATAAACTCCAATTACCTAGCACTTCTTTGAGCCTTATATTTTGAGGGACTCCCATCCATAGGCACATAATAAATTTGTATGTATTTTATCCTATTGATCTATCAGTTTATTTAATATCAACTATATATTGAATCTTCAGAGGATTAAAAGTCTTTCCCCTACAGTGTTTGCAAATGAATGGATGAGTAAATGTAAAATTATATCATAGGGACTGCTCAAGTAGCAATTACTGCAGCATTGAGATTTCATTTACTTTATTTGTATTAATTATAGGTATGTATTTTTTTAATATTTCTATTTTATTTAAAGATGTTAGCAGAGCTTCTCATGGTTATAGCAGGTAAAGAAGAAAGGCTTAACAAGACCGTACAACAAAAAAGAAGACAATGGGAAATTGTCACTTAATATTTTAGTTTGTGTCCATTGTCATAGCCTAGGTACTCTTCAAAGTGAGCTGGAAGCTAATCGTTCAGTGCTCATGTACAGTACGAGAAGCAACTGGAATCTCTTGGACTTGGGTGTGTCTGAACGCATGAGTTTCTACTGGAAGCTGGAGCCAGCCATGCCAGGTTCACAAGAGCCAGCTATGCACATCTTTTTCCAGCTCCAGCTCAGCAACCTCACGTGGGCAGCTTGAAACTGACCATGATGACAGGATTTATAGATCTGACTTTTTTTTAGAAAGGTTGGAAAAGAGCTGGTTTACCAGCCCACTATTGTATGTGAGTGATCATTTAATTATATTCCAGTGGCGATCTTCAGACAATACATAATACTAAATTGATTATATAGACAGATTTGGGTTACAGGCAACTTAAACCTGTCTTTCAGTTAATCTTTTGTGGTATATTTGTTATATATTTGAGACATTGGTCTAATTCGATTTAAAACATTTGATACATATATTAATAACACTAAGATATTTGGTTGCTTATCAAACATTACTTTAAATAATTATGTTTTATTATGTCTGTAGGCTCTTCTATAGCAGAGTAGTATGCAGAGCATTTTTAGCATTTATAATTAGAACAAACACCTATTTCCAGATTAACATAGAAACATTTCTGGTGCAATGCATTGAATAGAATAATTTTTAAAAATAGTATAGCCTTCAACGATCCCAAGTATAGGGATACTGAGTGCAGGCAGGTTCTCTTGTCTCTGTTCATTTTTTCATATTTAGCCTCTGGGAACCTGCCTCTTATGGACTTCTCATAAACTAAACTTCTCCTCTCTTTGCTTTCTGATGATTTTCCCTTCTCTGGTTTTAGAATAAAACATCCCTTAAATTCATGCAACACCACAGGTCTTCTGCTCCCAGCTTTCCTGACCTATTGGCCCTTTCATTCCAGTATTTAGAGGGCAGAGCTGAAAGCAGGGTGTTGGAGTGCAGGGAGAAGAGATCAGAGCAGCCTACTCACTGGCAGGCCAGGCTCCACAAAGAAAGTCCTCAGGACCTGGGAGAGGTGAACCCTCATCTCCAGGCCCAAGAACAGGACAGGTGACACTCCTAAACTTTCTGAGGCTTGCAAATCTACAGAGAAAATTCTTAGTGTAAGGCTTGTTCTCCTGTTTCATAAGGGATGGCTTTATACTATATATCTTTATGGCCTCACCCGTCCATCTCACACAGAACCCTACACACACACACACACACACACACACATACACACTCAGAAAATAAATGAGTGTGTCTCTTCAGAAATCTTATTTTCACATTAAGAGATAAAATATCATTTGCTTGGGTAGAGTGGAGTTAAGAACAAGCTACAACAAACATATCTGATGTTTCAAAATGTGTAAAAAAATTTTAAAGTCTTAAAACCCAGCTGTAGAATGTTACATTGTTTCCTGTGATCTCCTCCACCAGACGGATGCAAGGACAGCAGCCAGCCCCCGCCCTCCTGACAGGCTCCATCCTGCTTACACACCTATTCATTGGGAAGGAAAGCAGACGAGTATCTCCCTCCAAACTCTTGTGATTTCCTGCACTGATAATAGGTGAAGATATAATTTTGAAAACTCTGATCATCAAGATTCCTTTGGAGAAGTGTCTCTTCATCTCCAGCTTCACCGTTCTTTGTTTAGTATTTGATAAATGTAATACCCTATGCAAGCAGATGAGGTTACAGTTGTTTGAGGAAATTCAGCTCTGAAAAGCGTAATCCCTCTGGAATTCAAAACCTTCTATTTAACCTAGTTTTGGTTTTAACTGTTGTTGAGTCTAAAGATAGTTTTGAGCCTGGGCAGCATAGTGAGTTCCTATTTCTAAAAAAAAAAAAAAAAATTTTTTTAAGTATTAGCCGAGCATGGGGGCATGCACTTGTAGTTCTAGCTATATGGGAGACTGAGGCAGGAGGATCACTTAAGCCTAGGAATTCGAGACTACAGTGAGCTATGGTCGTGACATTGAACTCCAGCCTGGGTAACAAGAGTGAGACCCTGTCTCTGGAATACTAAAAAATAAAATATAGTTTTGAAATATCTTCCTATAGGTGTACAAAACTATTTTTTTTCTATTTGTGAGCATTTCATTCAGAACACTTCAGCCCAATATTATATGGAGTCATTTTTCATTAGGTGCTGGAAACATGTGACTAGACCACCCTAGGTGCTCAGGGAGTCCACAGTCTAGATAATCCAATATACGTTTGGAAGTCATAGATCTATGCACAGAACACTGGTTTGTTTTCTTGTTTTTTCACAAATAGAAAATACTGAAAACAAGAGATTTTTATGTTAAAAAATATTTAATCAAAAAAATGAGAACTATCTGGATAGGCATCCATGTTTTAAAAATCCATGGATTGAATTGTGGTCACTTTTTCCCTCTTATTTCCCAAGCAGTATGGGAAATGTGCTTCCTAATCTCACTCTTGCTGAGAAGCTTTGCTCTGGTCACAGATACTCTCCATGTTTGATGTGTTTCTCAGATGGTACTTTGGAAACGGGTTTGCTTCTATCTGTGTTCAAACATTTTGCAAAAGAAGGAAAAAAAACAAGAGCAGGAAGGAGAAGAGGAGGAATAGAGAAGGATAAAAGGAAAACATTTTCAGATAAATATTTACTCTCCGTGAAATTGGTTTCTAAAACAATGTCACCTCATTGAGCAAACGAGACAGGGGAAAGATCTTTTTCACCATACAATAAATGTTAGCACTGGGGACGTGGACGACGTAATAATGATGGCCCTATGAGCTGCCACACAGCTAGTTCCATGGTGAAGTGTTCATGGTAATGACCGAATGAGTTATTTTGTGACTTTGTGTCTAATGCAAAATGACACCATGGAAAGCACTGCAATTTATATGAATCACCATTGTCTGTGAGCAGACTCAAGTGTGAATCTACCGTGTCTCTTTTTCTGTCTCTGGAGAGACTCTTAAATTTGTAATAAGAGACTCAAAATTATCAATTTATATATAAATTCTTCTCAGTATGATTGATAAGAAACCATACTGGTATATCAGTGGATATTGCCAAAAAGTTTTATAAAAATTTAGTTCTCTCCCAATTTTGTAATTGGTACATGAAGCTGATTTATTATGAGAATTCCTGTCAAAAATATTATCCTAGCATAAATCATCTTAGTATAATAGAGATGCTGGCTTCAGCCATGTCTTTATTCTGGAAAAATAAAATAGAAACTGATATTAAAGTATGTACCAATACATAATGCATTCAGAGTTGTTTTTAAACAGCAAAGATTTGTTTTTCTTGCGTGCAGGCTGGTGTTATGAGCTGGACCTGTAAAGGGCTTCCATTCGTTTTGTCCTGCATAGCGTCCAAGATAGATAAATACATTTGAAAATGCAAACGTGAAGTTAGCTCTCACTTTGACCTTTCCTCACACCTAGGTGTACAACCTCTGTCATCGAATGTTACCTATTTCTTCACTGATGAGGTGTCACTGGGCTTTTTGTTTGTGTCTGTGTGATGGCATTGAGGTAGATGCGAAGTACCCTAAGTGGAACCTCCATTCTCTACAGAAGTGCAAGCCACATGAATTGAAAGCCATGTTCACAGAAAGGGCAATGCTGCTGTCATCTTTGCATTACATTTTCTATTATCCTTGGTCTGACTGTTTACTAGAAACACCAGTGTTCTGTAGCCTCCAGACAGTAAGAATGTCTTCCGTCGTGTACTTCTCGAAGCTGTTGCGGTGCCCTGTAGGGCATTCTAGCTGTTGCCCTAAATTGAGATGACAGTGTTGCTCATATTAAATTGCCTTCTCGCTTGGCTTGGCGTGCTGGGATCCATATCTATTAATGCAGGAGTGTCCAAATGTCCTGCCAGGAAAGCAATTTGTTCCTCAGTAGGGCGTCAGGGAAGCAGCTGGTCTAAGAAACCATCAGAGGTGATGTTCGGGGCAAGTTGTGTTTTTCTTGATTTAATGGAAAATTCTCCTGATCCATCGCCTCTCTCGTCCCCACCACTTGTCAGCAAGGCAGCACATATCCGTCTTCCGTCCTCTCCTCTGCCTCCCTCACCTGCCATCGGTCTCTTGTGAGGAGTCAGCCCTTCACACAGCCCAAGCCTTCGAATAGACATTCTGACAACAACAAACACTTTATTAATGGGTTTTTTAATGCCCTGGGGAGGCAGCACAATTTGGCAGCATTCGGTTACATATCACATTGAAAACCAACTCAGCTTTTTAAGAAACACCTCTCTCAGGAGAACATTATAGACACACACACACACACACACACACCCCACAGCAATACTCACCATCCACATCCCTCCTGCCACCCCACTCAACCCCAACAGAGCTTTCTCTTGAATGAAACTCATAAAATTCCAGATTCTCAGTTTGTGTCTCTGTTCTGATGGAGTACGTGTCTGATGACTAATACTCAGCCAGAATGTCAAGAGCAATGATTGCTCATCAAGTGCGTGTTCATTGGGCATCAAGTGCGTGTTCACTGTGTGCAAGGGAGGCTTGTCTGGAAGAGGCCTGATGAGCATGAAATGCTCACCTCGGCTCTCACGGGAATGCTGTCTGTGGCCCCAGTAATCAAACTGAGAGGCCAGATAATCAAAGATGAAAACAGACCTCCCGGAGGGGCCAAGGTGAAGACCAGCCAGCCACTCCCTGGCCTTCAGAGCTTGCCACATCAGTAATGTGTGTAACAAAGTGTTGCTATCTTAACATCATGGGAATATTCAGGATACTTTAAAATGCAGCAGTGATGCTGATATTAAGTGCACAGTTAGTGGGGATCTCATTTCTTTGAGGGCAGAGTTTATTCAGGGCTTTGCTCAAATATGAAAATGACACGTCTAATAAGAAGAAAGCAAGCTTCCCCAGGGCAACCATTGTATCTTTAATGCACTTTTCTGTGCAGTGGAGTTTCTGAATAATTTCTATGGAACTTTGATACAATGGGATTTCTATCTTTGCTTTTGGTAATTTGTCAGACCTGCAACAATGGATTAGTAACAAATTCTTTGAAATGAAAAATATGTTCTTCTGGAATGCAAAATGAATAGAGGTAGGCCAGTGGGGACTACGTTGCTCACAGACGGCCTTTGTTTATCCCTCTCCTGTTCTTCGTTCTGTCCAGAACCACAAGTCTCCTGCTTCACCAGCCCAACCTAAGACTCGCCCCCAGCTCTGACGCTGTCTAATAATTGTCAATCTTTGTAGCTCTCTTACAACTTTGAGATCCTACTGAGGACAAACTCATTTAAGTTTCAGGATTAATAAGAAATTGCACATATGGCCTGTAATCCCAGCACTTTGGGAGGCTGAGGCATGCCGGTTACGAGGTCAGGAGTTCAAGACCAGCCTGGCCAACATGGTGAAACCCCGTCTCTACTAAAAATACAAAAATTAGCTGGGCATGGTGGCAGGCGCCTATAATCCCAGCTACTCAGGAGGCTGAGGTAGGAGAATTACTTGAACCTGGGAGGCATAGGTTGCAATGAGCCCAGATTGAGCCATTGCACTCCAGCCTGGGCAAGACTCTGTCTCAAAAAAAAAGAAAAAAAAGAAATTACACATATGGGAGAAGAGGCCATAAAACATGAGTATATCAGTAATAATGCCCAGTGATCTTGTTATGTGTTTAATTAAGCCCCATAGCTTTGTGTCTGAGCCTTGATTTCAACAAACATTCATTGGTACTGACCCCGTGTCAGATATTAGGTAAGCATGTGTGATACAAAGATGACTTTGAGGAGTTTCTTGTGACTTTATGTAAAATGTCTTCACTACATTTTGATTTGGTAGACCAGGTTTCTCATAAGTCAAGCTTACTCATCAGCACCGGATTTCTCTTTAATCATAATCAAGGTATTTTAAAGATTCGTCTGTAGATTCATGAGCCTGCTCTCACATATGTTATTCAAGTCACCAGTTAAATAGGATCTAGGACTCAAAGTTTAGGAAATCTTTAATCTTCTTTGTTGATATTTAACAATTAACTACTAACCTTTGGATATGACCAGATTTTTTTCCTCCTCCTAGAATTTTTCAAAATAAAGAATTAATTACTGGCCGGGCACAGTGGCTCATGCCTATAATCCCAGCACTTTGGGAGGCCGAGGTGGGTGGATCACCTGAGGTCAAGAGTTTGAGACAAGCCTGGCCAACATGGCGAAACCCCATCTCTACTAAAAATACAAAAAAAATTAGCCAGGCATGGTGGCAGGTGCCTGTAATCCCAGCTACTTGGGAGGCTGAGGCAGGAAAATTACTTGAACCCAGGAGGCGGAGGTTGCAGTGAGCTGAGACCATGCCATTGCACTCCAGCCTGGATGACAGAGCAAGACTCTGTCTCAAAAAATAATAATAATATTTTTTTGATATTAGAGCACATAGAGAAGCCAAGAACTTGAAGAAAGCTCAAAAGAATTTCAACCCATCATTTGTCATTGAAGACTCATAAGCATGGCCTTCATCAGCTGTGCACCTGCCTTCAGCAAGAACATGCAAACCACAGCCGATCTCTACTGGTGAGGCTGTTACTTGGAAACACAAGTTTCCTCAAGCTGTTCCTTCTCCCCACCCTCAGTTACATGCACTTCTTCTCTTTTGACATTGCTGCCACTCTTCTTTAGAAGGAAATTAGATCAGCTTAGATGATTTTTCTCTTTCACCTTCTAATTGTTACCGAATCCTACTTCTTTGAGGTGGTTTCAGAGTGAATGACAGTGCGTTCTTCTTCTGGTCCTGGGTGTGGGCAGGAGAATAAGAAGGAGGAATGCACTGAAGGTCACCGCTCCATTTCCTCTAGAGTCTCTAAGGGACATTAAGAATTGGATCGTCAATGAAGACGATGGCTAAATGTAAAAACTTATCTTAGCTGCACATAAGAGGAAAATACACCATGAGGACTAACCTAAAGTAAAATTGTAAAAGAAACACATAAAAGATAAGTTTGTATCATTTTGCTTTTCATCTCTTCCCTTTCTTTGTGCCCTTGTGAGCTCTCCATCACACCTGCCTGTTCCTCATTTCCAGCCCGCGTGGGGGATCCTTGGGCTCAGCCCATCCAGATCTGATCATGCTGAATCCACCCGTCTTTCACTGCATCCCTTCCCTCTGAGCTCTCCAAGCTTTGGAGAGAGATAGGTTACTCCTCTGATACTGATCAGCATTGCTAGGCTGGTAGAAGTCTGGAGGATAAGCTTAGTGTCAGTCCTTCAGAGTAGTTGGGGTCTGCATTTTAATGGAGGCTCCTGTCTCATCATTCAGAGCAGTCCTGCTGGTGTTTTCTACTTGATGAGGAAGGGTGATGGCCCTCTCTGCAGGCCTGCTGGAGGTATTTAAAGGTGAACAGGATTCGGATGGAGAACCTTGAACAGCACCATACATACGAACCCCCTCTCCCCTCCCTCCTTCCCCAGCTTGGAAAGGCAGACCCTCTCCCTACCTGGTACTGAACATTCCACTCTTTTCACTAGCAGTGCAGTCTCTCTCAGTTGGCCTGTACCCCCAAAGCAAAGACTTGGCAGAGGGCTTATTGTCTCTGAGTGTTAAAAGTACATTGCACTATAAACGTCTGTGCTCTCTGTCCGAAGTCTTAAAAGGAGTTTATCATGTACTGCATCTGGACACGAGTGCAGTTTTTCCAGAGCTGCATGCTCAGGCATTTGTGCAGACAGAGGGAGATCCTCTTGTGCTCAGCCTTCCTCTCCCTGGCATTGGTGTGGAGGGCTGCTCTCTGAGCAAGAGCTTCTATTTGACTCAATTCCGCCAATGTTCACCAGGTGCCTCTTCTGTGCAAGGCAGCTGCCAGGGGCTGCTACAGGTGGGTGAGATGCATAGCCAAGTATCAAGGCACACCGCCCGCCCTCTCCAGCAGGCAGGAGCATGCGTGGAAACTTGCAGCGGGCCCCTACACAGGGGCCATGGTTCACCTCACCAGGGTGCTGGCTGAGTGGAGGCTGAGCTCGTGCTGCTGGAAGGAGGCCATGGTGTTAACAGTGCACCATCGATGCTCTTTGCCAGAATGTGGTGGGACCTGGCAAGGACAGATATGAGTCCAGACTCACCTCTTACCCAGAGCCCCGGGACCGCACAGCCAGGGGCAGCGCCCAGTGCCATGGCAGCCTGCACTTGACCTTGCCGTGCAGGTTGGAGGTTGGCTGCTGGCTGTTTCTGGGCCCTTCTGCTGCTCTCCCTACACAGGACACTCGGTTTGCTCAGTAGCAGTGGGCAGCTTTGTGAAGTCTTCTCATCCTCTTGGAAGCAGGGCTGAGCTGCCCTGAGAGAATTCCAGGGCCAGCGGATATGCAGGGTGGGGGCCAGTCCTCCTCGCATGCACCCATGTGGCCACCTCCCCAGCCCCAAGGTGCAGAGTCACTGTCCAGCTGCCAGTGAGGGAGGCAGTGAGTGCCCTCAGCCCCATCCCCAGGCCAGTGGCCTTCATCTAAAGTGTCCAGAGGGCTAGACTCACACATGGCCTTGTAGAAGCTAAATCTCCCTCCAGCTTGAAACCACCATGCTGCCAACTTCCACCAGTCCCCCAGAGGAAATAATAGTCCTCTTGATTTCATTTATGCTTTACTTTTAATTTTGAAATAGTTATGGCTACACAGGAAGTTGTACACATAGCACAGAAAGGTCCTAGGTACCCTTCGCCAGCTTTTTCCAAATGGCTCCCTCTTGCGTAACTAGAGTACAGTACCAAAACCAGGAAACTGACTTTGTTACAGTGCATGCATGTAGTTCTATTTATCACAGGTAGGTTTGTGCAATTAGCACCTCAACTCTTGATTTCATCTTAAGTCTGTGTGGCTTGGTCCTTACCAAAGCAGAACCCCAGGAAACCAAAAAATTCATTGGTTTTGATATCACCATATCAGTAACCAAATTTGGTGATTCTAGGTTGATTTGCTGCTCCCAGATCCATAGATTGGTCAACATGAATGAACCTAAAAAGATATGTCAGTCACACGGAACCCTGACTCAGCCAAACTCCCACTTGTCAATCATGAACTCATGAATGAAACTGTGTTCCCCAGATAGAAGAAGGTATCTACTCATATTGCTTCTGTGTTGCTGATAGAATTACTTTTTCTGATCTGGCTTTCCCAAGGCAATTACAAAACCTATTTACTCCATTATAAGTTGAAATCAACACTATTACTATGAACTCATAATACTATATTTTTTCGAATCAGAAAAAAATTAATCAGTAAACCTGTGGATTAAATACAATTTTTAGAATGATAAATATAATGAGAAACAACCAAAAGCATCAGTTCAATAAATGCATCCACTGAAATGGTGGCTTATTTAAGAGACATGTTCCTGCACTTGTCTTCTTCTTTTTTGGGGGGGATGGACTCTTGCTCTGTCACGCAGGCTGTACTGCAGTGTCATAATCTCGACTCACTGCAACCTGCACCTGCTGGGTTCTAGCGATTCTCCTGCCTCGACCCCCAGAGCAGCTGGGATTACAGGTGTGTGCCATCATGCCTGGCTAGTTTTTGTATTTTTAGTAGAGACAGAATTTCACCATGTTGGCCAGTCTGGTCTTGAACCCCTGACCTCAGATGATCCACGCATCTCAGCCTCCCAAAGTCCCGGGATTACAGGCGTGAGCCACCACACCCAGCCCATTTATCTTCTTGAAGTAGATGGGATGATCACTGGAAATGACCTGGCTCTGTTTGAAGGTTATATAGAAAAAAGTAATGGAGTTGAGCATTGTATCAGTGCTATAAGGAAACTTCTTAAGCTTGATGAATGGATGAAGCTTAATGGTTATTTTTAATAATTATAGTCACTACTTACAGGTCATTGAGATAAATCACGTAATGCTGAACTTTGCAGTCTTAGAAGGAAAAGAAATTATCTCCTTTCCCAGAAATTATCGAGTATTTTTTTTCAGTGCATGTGTAAAAAGCCATTAACTTTTCTCTTTTCCTTAAATATCTAACTATACCAGGTGACTGTGCTTAAATGGAAGTGCTTTCCATTGACTAAAATCCCATCAGAAGAGCCTCGAGCCCCGTCGAGGTGAAAGCTAACCAGTTGGAAAGTAGATGCCATCAGACTGATGGTAGTTGATAAGTACGTAGAAGTCAAGAAGCCCTGGAGACCGTAGTGGACTCTTAATGCTGTCTTCATTGACTCAATGCTTAAATCAGTCCTAGAGACAATTTGCTTAGTTATCAGAGTAGCAGAATGATTTACTGTTTCAAATGAAACCCAAGTGAAATAATACAGTTGACTCTCATTTTAAATGATTCTGCTCTAAATGTTGAGATCTAGCTTCTCATAGCCTAAGCATCCCATGACCAAATGCCCGAAAATTAAGATTCATCTCTGAAGGCAGTGTAGTCATATGAGAATAAGCTTCACACACTTACATTTACTGAGTAAAGTGTTACAAAAATGTGTTCACTTGGATAAAAAATCACAAGAAATCCAGGATGCAGAAGACTTATCAGGTTAATAGGGTGATATTATTGGTCACTTTTGCTGTTCTCATTTTAAATTATCTAATGCTATTCTGTATTTTCGGATAAGAAGAAAGAGGAAAACAGGTAGTTGGATGCTGATTTCTCTCATTGGTGCTACGTGTATCATAGATATTCAGTAGTGGAAGCTGAAGGAAGACGTAACAATAAAAACGAGACATGTCAATAGCGCGTAACAATAAAAACGGGACATGTCAATAGCGCATAACAATAAAAACGGGACATGTCAATAGCGCGTAACAATAAAAACGGGACATGTCAAGAGCCTGGGCTGCAGGGGCACAGGTGAAGCTGGAAACCATCATTCTCAGCAAACTAACACAGAACAGAAAACCAAACACCACATGTTCTCACTCATAAGTGGGAGCTGAACAATGTGAACACATGGACACAAGGAAGGGAACATCACACACCGGGGCCTGTTGGAGGGTTAGGGGGTAGGGGAGGGACAGCGTTAGGAGAACTACCTAATGTAGATGATGGGTTGATGGGTGCAGCAAACCAGCATGGCACGTGTATACCTATGTAACAAACCTGCATATTCTGCACATGTATCTTAGAACTTGAAGTATGATATTAATAAAATAAATAAATAAATATCCATTTTCATCTAAAAAAAAAATAAAAGAGCCCAGGAGATACTGCACATGGGCTTCATGCTTTCTTAAGGAAATAAGACATGTGTAGAATTGCTTTTATGCACCTTGTGATGAAGCTATTTCCCCTGGCCCCATCTTTAACCGATTGGGCCTCTCAACTCCCACCTCAAAGTTTAGTCCTCCCTGAGACCGGGGGACACCCTGGCCTCCTGGGAGAGGAACCTGGAGGACCCCCGTAGTAGGCACCATGACAGCCACACTAAGGAGCTTGCTGCTCTGGACTTCCTAGCGTACTTGTCAAGGGGCGGGTTTCTGGGCCTTCCGCAGTTCTCCTGTAACCGAAGCCCTTCTGGTCTCCTGGTTCCCACAACAACGAAGTTTTCTTTCAGCCCCTAGTAGCTGGGTCCCCCTTCCCTGGACCTAGTCTCTTTAGAATGAGGTCTCAGATACGAGCCTCTAGCATCAGGACAAACAGCCATCCTCCAAATCCAGTTCTGTCCTCACCCATCACCTCCCTCCTAAGCCAGCATGAGTCACAGATGCAGATCCTTAACCCTCTCTCACTTTTCGTCACCTTGTCCCTCGCATTCAGATCTGTTCAAGTTCACCCTCAGAAGAGCTGGCCTTGGTATTATTCTGTTTTCAAACCTCGCCTTCTTTACTCTTTGTTCCCGTAACCCCTGTTGCTCCCCAAAATAAAACTTTACCCCAGCTGGGCACGGTGGCTCACACCTGTAAACCCAGCACTTTGGGAGGCCGAGGTGAGCAGATCACCTGTGGTCGGGAGTTCGAGACCAGCCTAACCAACATGGAGAAATGCCGTCTCTACTAAAAATACAAAATTAGCTAGGTGTGGTGGTACATGCCTGTAATCCCAGCTACTCGGGAGGCTGTGGCAGGAGAATCGCTTGAACCCAGAAGGCGGAGATTGTGGTGAGCTGAGATCGCACCATTGCACTCCAGCCTGGGTAACAAATAGCAAAACTCCGTCTCATAAAAAAAAAAAAAAAAAAAACACTTTTCAGAATTCCCGTCCCAGCCTTATATGGTCTGACCCTGTCCTGCAGCTCAGGCCCGGTTTGTTTCTCAAGATCGTGACCACGTTCACCATCCAGCACCTGTGTGTGTAACCTGCCTAACAAGTCCTTGCCCAATTAAATAAATACACATCTTTCATTTGCGGAAACCTCAAGAAAGCAAGGCATCTGGGGATTGTTTTTTCACTTTTTCATTGATTCTCTCATTCATTTAGTCATTCGTTCTTTCAATCGTTTATTTACAGTTCTGAGATACTAGTTCCACCAGGAAATATACTAGATAATAAGATTACAAAGAAATAGATTTCTGCTTTTGAGAATCATAGTTCCTGGGGTCCTTAAAATACAGATGTTATGGGTGGTTGCACCAGAATAAACCAAACGTGGCCAAAGCAATCAGGGAAGCTCCACAGACTCCCACGTGGATCCTAGCAAGAGGCAGGGAGCAAAGATCGGCTCAGGAACTTGTAAGAGGAGCAAGCTCTGCAGCCTCTGAAGAAGCTCAGGGAACCCCGGGGCTGGGCCTGGAGCCAGCCGGCAGACGGGACGGCTCCTGGCTGGTGGGGAAGTGGAATCTCGTTCTTTGAGTCATGACTATTGGGATTTGGATTGTTACACAGCCACCAACTTGTTGTAGACTTTAATGATTCCCAAAACGCTGGCACATCGTTTATCTCTGTAAAACCCTCTCAGGAAGGCATTCTATTTGTCACCATTTTATAGAGGAGGGAACAAAAGGTCAGGAAAGTTAAATAATTTCCCCGAGATGGCCCCGCTTTCGGTGATGGATCTGGGACATAAGCCCACCTCCCATGCTCATTGTAAAGTGGTGCTTTCCCCGCCTTCCCATGAGGTGTCTGGGGGGAATGTCATGCTTCAGTTAAAAACAGCAGCAGCAAGGCCCGTACAGCGTGGTCAGGTGGAAAATCACCTCCTAGAAGAATTCCAACTTCGGGTTCCCTTATGTAGCAGCTCAGTTTGTTTACCTCCTTGCCCACATCTACCTCCAAAAATTTATCTTTAATCAATTTTTTTTAAAAAAAGCAAAAAGGGCTTTTTCAAAAAAAAAAAAATGTATCTTAAGCCCAAATGGGAATATCTAATCACAGTCTGAGAATGCAATAGCTTAAGAGGCAGCCACATTTGTGTTTCTAGAAACCAGTCTGTCATTTCCATGAGTCCCCAAAAAGGAAACTCGTAAACATCTGCCTTCCCAGTGAGTGGAACTTGTCCTTGTCCTGACCAGAGAAATGGAAACTGTGGTAAGAGTGGTTCTGTGGAGGCCAGATGGGCATTCCTCTGAGAGCCCAGAGGAAGGCAGGTTCATGTATGACCCCAAAATTCTTATGCCTAGCAGTATTAATGAAACCATATCTAATGTTATGGAAAATCATCATATCATCAACATAGATTTTTTTTTTTTTTTTTGGAGACAGTCTTGCAGTGTCGCCAGGCTGGAGTGCAGTGGCATGATCTCAGCTCACTGCAACCTCCTCCTCCCGAGTTCAAGCGATTCCCCTGCTTTATCCTCCGAAGTAGCTGGGATTACAGGCATGCGCCACCATGCTCAGCTAATTTTTTGTATTTTAGTAGAGATGAGATTTCACCCTCTTGGCCAGGATGGTCTCAAGCTCTTGACCTCATGGTCTGCTTGCCTGGCCTCCCAAAGTGCTGGGATTACAGGCGTAAGCCACCACACCAGGCCCATGGATACTATTTTCAAAGCCTAGAACGGGAAAAAGCTGCACCACCTTAGTTTAATTGGAAGTAATGATACTAACTTCCAGCCCCCATAGCTGCATGCGCCAGGGAGGCCAGGAGGATGGCAAGTAAGAGTCAGGTGGCCTTGCGTCTCCCTGTTTACTCTACAGAGTCACATGTCATTGTTTCCTCCTCGTGTAGAACTATCATCTCACAACATTAAAAGGTGGAAAGAGTTTCATCTTGGTTGTGTAGTTATTTTGGGCAGAGAGTTAATGACAAACCTTGTATTACCAATTCACCAGGAATTTCAGTCCAAGCCACATGTGCTCGATGTGATGACCTGATGGGAAGTTGGCTCTGTTGACTGTGAGACATGGGCAGTTGTTAGCACATCAGACATGTCCCTCCCAACTAGGTGTCCCTTCTGGAGGTTTGTTCCATACTCCTCCAGCGTGAATTTACTAACAATAGCCGCACATTTCATCAGGCTCATTTTTATCCTATTGTTTCCCTATCATTTATTATACTGTCTGTTATGCACCAGAGCCTCTCTTTTTGGCCAAGGGTGCCTCCACTTCCATTTGATTTCATGGGGGTCATTCCTTGAGAGTTGTTTCAAACCATTTTTCTGGGCTTGGAATGTGCTGTTTTATCATATTTGCAGCATTCAGAGGCTTTAGCCAGAGAATTTTTTACTAATAGAAATAAAACCACTTCTATGACTGTTTTGGTAATGTTGTCCTGTGCAGACCTCTTTCCACTGCAGACTTACACGGAATAGATTAGGTACACTCACATTCTTATTCCCATCAAGCTACTGCAGAATTTTGTCACCTTGGCTTTCAGCAGGAGAGTCTGCATACAGTGACAAGGACATGGGTGTGTGTGCAAATGTGTGTCTGTGTTAGGGGGAAACGTGGGCCTGAGCCTTGGCTGAACCCTCACAGCAAGGCCAGCCTTCCCGCAGATCATAATGAATGGAACTGCAGGAGCTGTCTCCACCAGAGTGAGATATTCTTCTCCCAGACTAATGTTTTCTGCACCAGTTGGCAGATTTTTTTTTTTCCTAAGATCAACCCATCTGCCACTTTCATTCTGCAGTAACCTGGCAACTTGCAGTCCAGATCGTCCTTTTTCATCTTGACCCCTGGCCTGGGAATGCTTCAATTTAGTGATACTCCTTTAAAGGATTGTCTGGTCTCTTGGGTAGGTCAGTGCTATTATTCACTCATATCACGAGGGCTTGGTGTTCTTGAATAGATGGTGGCAGTATGACCATAATTCCTAATGTGTCCAGTCAATTGTCATGGGCTAAAACCCTTCACAGAAACAATGTGTCAGATATGGCTGCGGAGTCTGCGAAAGATGCATTATGATTTAGCTCATCCTTCATAATACTTATTTTCTTTATCCTTATTGCCAGGTCCCCGGGAGTCTAGAAACGAAGGGATTTGTTTCCAGCTGACACCACAGTCTTAGTCCTCGTGGGCCTTATATTCTATTGGAAGGGAAAATTGATAAATACCAAGATCATTTTGTGGCAGAAGTTTAAATCATCGGAACTATGTATGTAGACGCAGTCTAGGTCGTGTTTATTTTCCTTTGTTTTTTAGATTTACATCATATTTCCAATCTGACAAATTGAACGGCTCCTGCACTGCTGTGATTTCAGCCTCATAGGCCAATCTCTTCGGGTGATTGTTTTGTCTATTTTTAAAAATCTCGACACAGAACATTTATTTTTCTTCCTAGTAAACAATGTTGTTGTTTACTGCTATGTTAGAAAAGTCTTATCAAATTTTAAGATAACCTGTCCTTTGTTAGAGTTTGAGTCCATTACCCTAAGAGATTACCTCATTTTCTACAGCAAACAAAAGATCAGTGGCCTCTTTAAAAATAGCATTTTCCATATTGGGAGAAGGAAATCATGTCTGGGTCGGCTTCTTTGACATAACAAAAACTGTTTCCCTGATCCACACTCAATGTGGTCAACACCCTCTCCTACAAAAACGGCACAGGGGCAAGGATGACCGTTTTCAGCCCACTTCTAATGGAGACCAATCTCTTTCCGGCATATTTCATTCAAATGATAGAGAATTCTCTTCTGTCATTTGCTTTTACAGATAGAACATTGAAAGTCTTGACTTGCTATTATTTTCTTTAAGGTTAACGAAAACATAACTTCTGCTGGAATAACATTGACTCTCTCGGGTCTCTTAATACCCAGACTGGTTGCTTCTGCAAACAGCTTTGCTGTGTAATTAGGGTAAAGCATTTTGGTTAAATTGCCTCTCTACACCCAGAACTCTATCTTAGACCAACCTTTGTAAGGGAATTGAATCTGCTGGGTTTGAAAATTAGAATACTAAGCACAAGTGGGTGCATTTCTTCAATGGGCTTTACACTGGTCTCGGATTAACTTGAAACAACAACTCCATGTGGCGATCTCGGAGACAGTCACACTGCATGATGCCTCACATCCTGTGATGGTCGAGTTAGTGCAAAGCATAAGGAACGCCCATCTCCACAGCTTTGTGTCGTTTTTAGTAGCCACTGCATCTGGAGTGTCATCACTAGAGAGTGAAGAGTTCAAGTTCCTACCCTTTAAAATCTTCCCTTAAAACACAATTTTATAAAAATGTTCATGGGTAAAGAATATGCCTCTCAATGATGCATATGTCTTCAGAAATGTATTAGAGGAATCATAAGGAAGGTAGAGGATTGGTATCCCGGCAAGAGCATGAATTCAGGAGCCCACAGGCAGAACCTTGCTTGCAAATGCACCTTTTTGAGCCCATGCAGGGTTCAGCTGCACAGTAGAATAAAATACAGATTTGTGGCCCCCCCCCCGCTCTCTCTCTCTCTCTCTCTTTAAGGAAGCTCTTGGTACACTAGATGGGCATTCTCATATGAAGAAAAAAATCAGCTAAACATTAAAGGCTGACCCATCCTTTAAACAGCACAGGTGCTTCCAATCTGCCACCATCCCCACCTGGCTGCCCCCTACTCCCCAGGTTCCCTCTGGCTCTAAAACCCTCTAGTTTCTTACCTCACTTTTTGAGGCTCTGTGATTCTTTGTAATCTCAGAATGGATAGTTTTCTCTCTGTGAGGATGAATTAACAGCTAATAGTAGGACTACGTGATTTTTCTCAAGCACTGCCGAGAAGGTTCTGGAAGGTAGTGTTGCCCAGGAACAGGAGCTGAAAAAGTATTCTGGTATTCTTCTAATTAAAAAAAAAAAAAAAATTCTTTGGATACCGAAGTGTTTCTGTGATGTTGTCATAGAGTTATAACACCCAAGAACTGTGAAGCTGTGTTCTATTCTTGGCTCTGGTCAGTTCTGCATGGACACGGTGTTTAATTGAGGGCAAAAAAATATAAAAATAATCATAAGTAGGATGTAGATACATTGGAAATGATTCAACTGAGAGTGACAAAAGTTATTAAAATGATTAAGGAATTGCAAAATTGATCTGCGGGGATCGGCTTGTGAAATTGGATTTATGAAGTCTGAGGAAAAGAGATCGGAGGGCGGGTTTATTCAGTGTATTAAGAGACACGATATGGAGGAAGCTGACCCATGTCTTCTTGCTCTTCTGAGGACAGAGCAAATGGAATTGATCTTACAGGGAGAATTTGTTACCATGTGTAATGGAAGCATAAGGACTGTCCCTCAGGAAAAGCATTTCTGAGGTTAAAAAAACAAGAAAATACTCGGAACTATTCTCCTTGAGACAGGTTTTTAAAAGCCAGACGAGAGCCAACAAGGAATTTTATATCTTGGTCTGCCTAAAGGCAGGGGTTTGTGTCAGGTGACCTTTGAGGGCATTTTCCATTCCTCTGAGTCTGTAGAATTACGGAAGGTCTTGAATCTGATTTTAGTGAATTCAAAAGCAAGTACACATCAGCTCCTAACCATCAGAGACGAAAGTACAAGGACACGCACATTTTTTTTGCTATTGAATTAACACCTGGAGTCTCAGATATTCATGCAATCATTCCTTTTGTAGTCTGTGATTGCAAACTAACAGTTATTAGTCCGCTGCGGCACTTTAACAAAGGGTACGGCTTTTATGCCTCACATGTGCAATACTTCTATTAGCAAAGTGTTTCCATGGCTACGTTTGATCCAAAATTTCACTACCAAAAATAAGAATACAGAAAGGCATTCCCATGTGTCAGCAAAGGTAGGTCATTTATTTCATCTACTCTTAGGTATTGGGCACCTATTGTAAACCCGGAGCTGTATTTTGCACTGAGCATACAAAGGTGGAAAAGTAAATCAAGGAGCTTATTTGGATGGTTGGGGCGTGATTCAGGCTGGACATGAAAACCTGGCATGAAAATATAGTTTACTGAATGTTTAAGGAGTTGCAGTAAGGGTAGAAAAATGTGAAATACCACCTAAAATGGGATTAAATAGACAGAAAACATCAATGGTGCATGATACCATCAGGAGCAGAGAGGAGTCAAGATATAGAGGAGGCAGAGGAAGGAGGGTGGGGGAAGGGATGTGAAAGAAGAGAGCATCCCTTCCTGACACAGCTGTGTGCTGGGCCGAGAGGAAAGCTTGGTGTGTACCCCAGCAGCTCTCTGGAACTTCCCTGACCAGTGGAATGCTAGTCAGCAGAGGAGATTGCAGATTGGAAGCGGCGGTTCCCCCACCCCATAGCCACCTTTGAGGATTAAATCAGGCTATGGACAGGCACACCAGTACATAGTGTGGTTTAATAACCTACCCAAGTAATTGTGTCAAAATTGAGGGCTGATGCCCCAAATTCACTTGATCCTGATCCACAGAGATGGACAGTGTTACCAATGCCACACTGGAAAGAAACCTTGACAAGAAGTCACTCACACCTAAGCAGATCATCTTCTTAGCCCCACGGAATCTTAGGTTGAAAAGGAACTTAAAGGCCAGTCATCAAGCCTCTTTCCCGTTACTAGAATGGGTTCCACACACCCCCCTTCCTCGGCAGGTGTCCAACTTAAGTGGCAAAAGTTCAGATCTTTCTGGAAGATCATTTAGGAAGAAATGTGATTTTAAGAGAGGAATTAAAAAAAAAGTTATCTCTTATGTGAGGCTAAAAACTACCTCCCTGAAACGTGTGCTCATGGCCTGAGACCCACTCCTGGGAGCTGCTTCGTGTGGCTGAGCAGACTCTCTGGGGTCTCTTCTCTGGAGGCCCCTCCTCAGCCAACTGTGAGGCTGCTCCCGGCTCCATGGCTGCCCTGCCCAGATGGTTCCAGCTTGTCAATGTCTTGTAGAAGGTGGCTCCACAAACTGACTTCTCTGTGCTGCGGACCACTGGCCCAGCCTACAACTGAGCAAGCTTTTTGGGGCAGCCATATCACATTTCTCTATAAAGAATGAAATGTGTAATACATTAATACTGTTCTCTTACAGTTAGCGTTATTGAGCACTAGCTGTGTGCCTCTCGGTAAGCCCCGTCAGGTCCCCCAGCCCCCGCCACTCCTGGGCCCCACCCCCCCACATCGTACTCCTTTCTGCACTTGTCGCACTAGCCTGGGACCCTGTTTGACTGGCCCAGAGCAGTCCTTCAATCAGCATTTGTTGATGAATTCATTAAATAGGCAACAAACTTTTCAGCCTTTATTGGGTTTGCAGCATATGTAAATGAAAGTTACACAGTGTTCGATCTGTTCCTGTTTATCCCTACAACTCCTGACTTGTAACATGACTCCGTCAGTATCTGCCTGGGAAACACTGGGTTCTCCCCTTTTTCCCAACCCTGCACACTGGAGACTTCCGACCTGCTTCTGCTGGAAACCCTGCAAGGACACTCAAGGTTGGGAAAAGTCTGTGCCTGGCAGGGAGTGGTCCCCACACTGATCCCCTGGGGCTCTTCCTCAGGAAGCCAGGCTTTGCCCAGCTCTGAGGAGCAGATAACGCTGTGTTCATGCCCTTAAGTCACCCTCATTAGATTTCTTATGGTCACGTTCAGCCTGTCCTTCCAGCCTTGGAGACCTTCTGGGATCTTTCTTTAAGCCTCTAAGTTATTGAATGTCTTATAGTTTTTTGATCTGTAACTATAAAAAGTCACATCTTCTGTCTCTACACCTGTGTCATTGGTATAGCTCTTTAAATATATGAATAGCCTGCCTCATGTAACAAGAACAGAGCTAACACTATCATAATAAACTGGAAGTCAAGGCTGGAAATCCAGATCATGGATACAGCAAAGAATTAGGTTGATCACAGAGGTTCTTCAATGTTTTCCTCCAGCCTAGGGTGTCTCAGTGATCAAGGCTGAAGGGGACTCTGGCAGGGACATAATCATCATTATCAGAACAGAAGCCTATGGATTCCTGGGGGAAGAAGGCTTTTCTCACAGTGGATCCTAAAAGAATTGTCACATTGGACTTGGTGTTGCGGCCACCCTGTGGTGCAGTGAATGACGTTCACAACCTTTCTTAAAACAGCAACCTCAGACTGGACTGCTTCTGGTTATGACCTTCATAAAAGCATAGAGGCTCTGGAAGCAGGGCCCTGGGGCCGAGCATTTGCCTTAGAACCCAGCTAGACTAGGCCACCCCGTAGCTCCCTGACTCCATCCCCTCACCTCCATAAGCCTCTGTGAAGTGGGGGTAATTAATAAGTCTCTACCTCCTGGGGCCGTAGCAGCCATTAAATGAGTTGAAACATGTAAAAGGCTTACTGCAGTGGTAGCAAAGCTTATTTAGGATAAAAATAGTACTTACCCCATATTTGTTGTGAGAATGACCTGAATAATCCACAGAAAGAACACAGTGACTAGCAAATGAAAGTTCATGCGTGTTGGCCATCGTCTAAAAGACTTTTCTATAACTTATTCAGAAAAGATTAAAATATTCGGAATGACAGCCATGAATTCATGCAGACCCCGTGGTGCAGCAGCAGCCCCTCCCGTTCTGCTTTCTTACAGCCAACCCAGTATTGCAAGTAGCACCCCGGCCTTCCAGATCCCATCTTCCCTTCTCTACTTGGGAGATCAGTTGCATTGATGATACATAACTGCTGTTAGCCTTGGGCCAGAAGACACACCCTGAAAGTCACTGCAACGGTTCCTTCATCAGTCATAAAATCATAAGATTTCCAACTTGTGGAGAAGTTTCTATCAGACACGGTGCTTAACATTGGATATGTGTCATCTAACTCAGTCCTCACCACCAATGCATGAAGTTAAGTGCTGTTCTCCTCCTAAAATTAAAATGAAAGGGAAGGGTAAAGCAATTAAGCGACATCTCAAGAATCAGGCTTTTTATCCAGCACCTTCTGCTCCAGAGCACGTACTCATCACCATTCCACACCTGCCTATTCGCCGTAGGGCATGGGTCAGAGCCACCTCATGGCCTCACCAACCGACAGTGCTCCACCAGAGTTGGTCCTAGCCGGAAACACTGTGTTCTAACTGCTGTCTTTCCATAAATGCACCGGTACTCAAAAGTCCCCCATTTCTCTCTTTCCTGCTTGTTACTGGCCTCTTCCTTCAGGGTACTCTTGCTACTCTCATCCCTACCAATCAATGCTCATGAATGACAGCTCACAGTATCCCATTTTTTTTAATGTTGGAAAAGATTCTAAAGTCAGGGGATGTGGCTTAGGAAGAGGAGGGGTGGGAAGGCAAGTAGCTGAGGGCACTGGGAAACTTTGCTGATTTCCCAGGGTTGGTTAGAAGGGGTACTTTGCCATCAATTATGTTTACTTCTGAAGCTCTCCTTTTCATATCACTGGTTTTCTACACAGCCAAACGTGTTCATGAGCTTAGAGAAAATCTGTTATTGACTTGGTTGACAGTTTCTCAATCTCTTTATGCCTCAGCATCCTCAGCTAGAACGTGGGGATAGGAGTAGTGTTTCTCCCAAAGACTGCAGATTTAATCCATTGACTAATGATAAACACGTGCAGTGCATGGCACAAAACGGACATTATTAGCAACAATGATGATCAGGATAACTCATTTCAGAGTTGCTTCATGTGATCCACAAAAAGCAGTTTTTAACACAACTCATAAAAAGCTTGTATGCCCAAGTGATTCCGTGATCAAGGTATTCCTTCTCACATGGCTGATAACTAAAACATGCAGACTTTCTCTCTCATGTCGCTGACAGCGTTTCCCCAGAACAGCTGCATCTTAGAAGCATGATGTTATATCTTTATATTATGGTGTTATATCCTAAGCCTCAGGATGCGGCTGTGGCTGAGGCCAGGCTACCTGAAGGAAACCTCTGTCTGCCCAAACCCTGTCCCTTTGGTTCATAGACCCACATAACCCATGGCCCAAGAAGCCACTGGGCCTTGTACAAATTTAGAATGTGAGATGCTGTAACAAGTGACCAGTTTCTCCAGCATGTGAGAGACATGGAGTGCAAAGCAGAAGGGAGACAGTTGCAGATGACAGATAAGTCAGATGACCACTTGAATACCTGGGCTGGGTTTGAAGCCTGATTTCTGATTCTTGGAAACAGACCAACCATTAAAAAAAGAACATTCAGCATTCTGGGAGAAAATATTGCAAAAGACCTATCTGATAAAGGGACCATTACCAAAATATATGAAGAACTCTTAAAACTTGACAGTAAGAAAACTAACAACCAGATTAAAAATGCACAAAAGGTCTGAACAGAAACCTCACCAAAAAAAGATATACAGATGGCAAAGAAGCATATGAAAAGATGGTCAGCATCATATGTCATTTGGCATTTGCAAATTAAAACAATGAGATACCTCTACACACCTACTAAAATGGCTAAAACCCAAAACAGGGAAACCACCAGATGCTGGGGAGGATTTGGAGCTCCAGGAACTCTCATTCACTGTTGGTGGGAACACAAAATGGTACAGTCTCTTTGGAAGACAGCGTGGCAGTTTCTTAGAAAACTAAACACATCGCTAGGCACAGTGGCTCATGCCTGCAATCTCACTGCTCTGGGAGGCTGAGGTGGGTGGATCATGAGGTCAGGAGTTCAAGACCAGCCTGGGCAATATGGTGAAACCCCTGTCTCTCCTAAAAACAGGCAGGTGTGGTGGCATGCGCCTGTATTCCTAGCTACTCAGGAGGCTGAGGCAGGAGAATCACTTGAACCCGGGAGGCAGAGGTTGCAGTGAACCGAGATTGTACCATTGCACTGCAGCCTGGGCAATGAGCAAGACTCAGTCTTAAAAAAAAAAAAAAAAAAACTTAAAAACCAAACATACTCTTACCATATGATCTACCAAACATGCTCCTTGGTATTTACCTGAATTAGTTGAAAACTTATGTCTACACCTAAACCTTCGCACAGATATCGACAACACTTTATTAATAATTGACAAATCTTGAAAGCAACCAAGGTGTCCTTCAGCTGATGAATGGACAAATAAAGTGGTACTTCCAGACAAGGGGAAATTACTCCATGCTAAAAAGAAATGCACTATCGAACCATGGGCAGACCTGGAGGAACCTTAAGTGCATATTACCAGGTGGAAGATGCCAATCTGAAAAAACTACATACTGCTTGGTCCCTGCTATATGATACTATGGGCACAGTAAAAAGATCCATGGTGGCCAGGGGTTTGGGCAGGGAAGGATGAGTATGTGGAGCACTGGGAGGTTTTAGGACAATGGAACTCTTTTGTATAACGCTGCGGTGGTGGATAAATGTTCTTATATGTTTATCCAAACCCACAGAAAGTACAGCACCAAGAGTGAGCCTCATGTAAACTGAGGACTTTGGGTGATGTGTCAATGTACATTTTGCATTTATAACAAATGTGCCACTCCTGTTGGGAACGTTGATATTAGGGGAGGCTGTGTATCTGTGGGGCAGAGGGTGGAGGGGAGCTCTCTGAACTCTGCTCAATTTTGTTGTGAAATAAAACTGTCTTTAAAAATAAGCTCTATTTATTCCCAATAAAACTTTATTTACAAAAAAAAAAATAAGCGCTATTTAAAAAAATCAAAAAATCGAAACGATGGTTTTGACACAATTGAGTTTAGATGATAGTAAGGATGCTTAATTTTTATTAACATTTCAGCTGCACCTTAAAGACAAGTGAGATTTCATAAGGAAACGTGGTGGAAGAACTTTTGGCAGACACTGCATGAACAAAAGTGGGGAAGGAGGAGAATGAGGGCAGCATTCAGAGGACAACTCAGTGTTCAGTTCATCTGTCATCTTGGGAACAGTTGTGGTTTCAAATAATTCATTGTATTATTCCTGGACACTATTTCAGAAATCATAGCATTTTGGCATCCAAATTCTACCTTCTCTGAAACCTAGAAGAGAGTAAAAATTCTTTACCCATTCATAGAACTTGGTTCTGAATATATGTTGACCTCAGCCATAGAGCAGTCATTTTCAAGGTTAATTGCACCTAAGAATTGTCAAGGGAACAGAACATTTACGAAACATGCAGAAACCCCACCACCTCTAACCCAGTCGGTCTGATGTGAAGCCTGCAATCTGCATTTTTCACGAGCATCTCAGCTAACGTGGATCCAGGTGGCCCGGGGACTGAATTTCCCAAAGTCTAACCACAGAGGTAGATGTAAGAGGTGAGAAGAAATGTCCCACATTCTAAAGCCAGTCAGAAGCCACAGGTGACATGAATGAGGGAAGCGAGGGGTGGAAACACTGCCCCTAGCTTTCACTTTAATACTTAGGAGAACTGTGCACTCCACAAAGAAATACGCTCTTTCTCTTACTTTTAGAAAAACACAATCCTTTCCTACTTTTGATAGAGACATGGAACAGAAATATTTCTCTATATGTAACAGTCAGTTAAGTGTCATGACAAATATCAACGGAAGGGAAGCAGTGGAGGCCCAGGATTTCCTCATCCTTCGCCTTAGCAAGGGAAGTTTAGAATGTGTCTTTTACGCGTAATCTCCCAATCTGTAAATGTCTTAGATTCTTTTCAAACACTCTGTGAGCCAAAGTAAAACGTGTGTGTGTGTCCAGACCCCCTACTCACAGGCCACTAGTTGTGACTTTTGAACGAAACCGTAGCTGGGAAGGCTTGCTTGGACTAGGTCATAGTCCTGAGTTCTGAGCAATGGGTGGAGGGTGCAAAGGAGCATCAGGGACTTCTGCAGAAGGTGAAAAAGAATCTCAGTTCTCCCCGACCCCACCACCACCACACACACACACCCCATCTCACTCCTCAACAAGACCATCTCTGCTTTTATAAATTACATATAGATGTTCCATAACAGACTTTAACTTGAAAAGTAGAATGTAGCCACTAGGATGTCAAAAGAATATCCTGGATGTATTAGTCAGTACAGACTAAAGTCTGTTGCAGCAACAAACAACTTCAGCATTTCAGTGGTTTGAAGCAACAAAGGTTTGTTTCTTGCACGTGCGGCCTGTCCAGTAAGGTTGTTCCCAGCTAGGGTTTTGTTCAAAAGGTCTGTCCAGTTGCGACCTTGTTCCCCATCAGGGTCAGCAGGTAGAGCCCGTCCTTCAGGAAGCAGGATCACGGGAGGGATGGAGAGTTGAGCACCAGCAGTTAAAGGCTTTGGCCTCAAGTCGCACATGTCACTACCATTCACATTTCATTGGCCAAACAAGGCATTGGACAACATCTAACTGGGTTGGGACAGGGCGCCCTTCCCACAAGCCCTCGGGGAGAAGGGGTGAGCTGTGTGAATGTCCGGCGCGTGGGGCTGTGTGGTATTGGGAGGAGGCTTGAATTCCAAACCAGAGAGTGAGCTTTCATTAACTATGGAATAGGAATTATAATGGGCTCTTTGAGGAAAGGAGTAACATAACAAATATAACAAACACAAATACTAATTATCAAAGGTTAAATACTCCATTTATTAATTAATAACAGGATATTGATTTGCAGCCTGAATAAAAATCCCCTCAGTGAGCAGAGGTTTCTATCAGCTAAATTATGAATAGATTAGGTTAGAAATGGATTAACAATAACTTATCTTTTTTCCCACATGTGAATTTAGCCAATCTAATAAGAGCTTTATAAATAACTAATGAAAAAAGGCAGTCTCAGTGCTCGTGAGCCCTCCTACTATGGAAAATTAGACCCATCTATTGAAGAACAAACATCCCCTCATGGAAGCCAAGGTTTCCTTGCTCCCGTCATTTGATCAGATTTAGAGCATAATTACCATCATGCAATTCGAACTAAATATATTAAAGTATTTCTTTTAAGCGAAAATAATTGGAAAGCATCAGGAACAAGCCTTTCTATTTGAGACACCTTGGGAGGAGAGTCGGCCTTGACAGAGGCTGGAGCAGCTACAGCTCCTGATCCCTGCTGCCGGCTCCCCTCCCACCTTGGCAACAGAACCAGGCAGAATCCTGATCTCATCTCGTTTGCATTTGATGTGGATTCTGTCAAACAGGAAGGGATAATTGAGCTAGAGTTAGCTTTCTGAATTGAAAGGGAAAGGAGTGAGAACAGCAGCAGCAGAAAATACTTTGTGGTACAAAGTAGCCGGTCTGTAAGTAGGATATGGGTGTGTGTGTGTGTGTGTGTGTGTGTGTAAATACTTTGTGGTGCAAAGTATTCAGTCTGTAAGTAGGATATGGTGTGTGTAGGGGGCATGTGCGTAAATAGTGGTGCAAACTGTGCAGTCTGTAAGTGGGATATGGGGGTGTGTGTGTGTGTAAATACTTTTTGGTACAAAGTATTCAGTCTGTAAGTAGGATATGGGTGTGTGTGTGTGTAAATACTTTGTGGTGCAAAGTATTCAGTCTGTAAGTAGGATATGTGTGTGTGTGTGTAAATACTTTGTGGTGCAAAGTATTCAGTCTGTAAGTAGGATATGGGGGTGTGTGTGTGTAAATACTTTGTGGTGCAAAGTATTCAGTCTGTAAGTAGGATATGGGGGGTGTGTGTGTAAATACTTTGTGGTGCAAAGTATTCAGTCTGTAAGTAGGATGTGTGTGTGTGTGTGTAAATACTTTGTGGTGCAAAGTATTCAGTCTGTAAGTAGGATATGGTGTGTGTAGGGGGCATGTGCGTAAATAGTGGTGCAAACTGTGCAGTCTGTAAGTGGGATATGGGGGTGTGTGTGTGTGTAAATACTTTTTGGTACAAAGTATTCAGTCTGTAAGTAGGATATGGGTGTGTGTGTGTAAATACTTTGTGGTGCAAAGTATTCAGTCTGTAAGTAGGATATGTGTGTGTGTGTGTAAATACTTTGTGGTGCAAAGTATTCAGTCTGTAAGTAGGATATGGGGGTGTGTGTGTGTAAATACTTTGTGGTGCAAAGTATTCAGTCTGTAAGTAGGATATGGGGGGTGTGTGTGTAAATACTTTGTGGTGCAAAGTATTCAGTCTGTAAGTAGGATGTGTGTGTGTGTGTAAATACTTTGTGGTGCAAAGTATTCAGTCTGTAAGTAGGATATGGTGTGTGTAGGGGGCATGTGCGTAAATAGTGGTGCAAACTGTGCAGTCTGTAAGTGGGATATGGGGGTGTGTGTGTGTGTAAATACTTTTTGGTACAAAGTATTCAGTCTGTAAGTAGGATATGGGTGTGTGTGTGTAAATACTTTGTGGTGCAAAGTATTCAGTCTGTAAGTAGGATATGTGTGTGTGTGTGTAAATACTTTGTGGTGCAAAGTATTCAGTCTGTAAGTAGGATATGGGGGTGTGTGTGTGTAAATACTTTGTGGTGCAAAGTATTCAGTCTGTAAGTAGGATATGGGGGGTGTGTGTGTAAATACTTTGTGGTGCAAAGTATTCAGTCTGTAAGTAGGATGTGTGTGTGTGTGTGTGTAAATACTTTGTGGTGCAAAGTATTCAGTCTGTAAGTAGGATATGGTGTGTGTAGGGGGCATGTGCGTAAATAGTGGTGCAAACCGTGCAGTCTGTAAGTGGGATATGGGTTTGTGTGTGTGTGTGTGTAAATACTTTGTGGTGCAAAGTAGTCTGTAAGTAGGATATGGATGTCTGTGTGTATGTTTAAATACTTTGTGGTGCAAAGTATTCAGTCTGTAAGTAGGATATGGTGTGTGTGTATGTGTGCACATGTGTAAATACTTTGTGGTGCAAAGTATTTAGTCTGTAAGTAGGATATGGGTGTGTGTGTTTAAATACTTTGTGGTGCAAAATAGTCTGTAAGTAGGATGTGGGGGATGTGTGTGTGAGAGAGAGAGAGAGAGACGTGAAACCACTGTGCATACACGCAGACTTGAGAATTGTAGCCTTGACTCTTTTCAATGGGAATAGAGTTTTAAAAAGGAGTAATATCTGTCTCTTATCTCGCCTAATTTATTCCCAGTTCAAGACAAAGGAACAAGAACTTTTTTTTCTTTAGAGGATAACCTTTGCCAGAGGGTATGTTTTGAAGGAGGAATGCCTGTGAGAGCTGAATGGGGATGTCTTTCCTGATTCCTGTAGGGGGACAGCCTGTCCTCCACCCGCCCTTCCCTGGGAAGTTGTCCTAAGGAGGTACAGATCCCTTCCACTCCTTGGCAGAGCTTCCTGTATTTCTTTACCTGACTTAAAGATCCATGTTAGAAGCAAGGAAGAACTGACAAGTGCCCTTCCCACAGGCCACTAGCCGACAATGCCACCTGGCCCCTGCCTGTGGGCTGACCCCTGGGAACAGGCTGTGGAGTCGTGGCCAGGAGGAAAGGGCATGCCAGCAGGTTTGTGAGGGGGTGTCACAACCCTCACAATATATTTGGATATATATTGATATATTTGTTCCTAGGGCGGCCATCAGAAAGTGCCACAAGCTGGGTGGTGTAGAACAGTGTGTCATCTCGAGGTTCTGGAGGCCAGCAGTCTGAAATCAAGGTGCCTCCAAGGCCCTGCTTCCTCTGAAACCCATGGGGAAGAATCCTTCCTTGCATCTTCTGGCTTCTGGGGTTTGCCAGCAATCCTTGGCTTGTGGCGGCGTCACTCCAGTCTCTGCTCCCATCACCTTGTGTCTGCCTTCTCGCCATGTGTCTCCCTCCTCTTTTTCTGAGGATGCAAGTCATGTTTCAGTTAGAGCCAACCTGCTTCAGAATGACCTTATAATATAGTTTGTCTGTGTCCCCACCCAAATCTCCCCTTGAATTGTAATGATCCCCACGTGTCAAGGGCAGGGCCAGGCAGAGATCACTGAATATGAGGGCAGTTTCCCCTATGCTGTCCTTGCAGTAATGAATAAGCCTCATGAGATCTGATGGTTTTTATAAATGAGAGTTCCCCTGCATAAGCTCTCTTACCTGCCGCCATGTAAGATGTGACTTTGCTCCTCATTTGCCTTCTGCCATGATTGTGAGGCCTCCCCAGCCATGTGGAATTGTGAGTCAATTAAACCTCTTTCCTTTATAAATTACCCCAAGTATATCTTTCTTAGCTGCGTGAGAACAGATTAAGACACCTTACCCTGACTAACTACATTCACAATGACACTATTGCCAAAGATCTCAATCTGAGGCACTGGGTGTTAGGACTTGAGCATATCTGTGTAAGGGATACAACTCAACCCAGGACACTCAGGCTGCTCGGTACTCCCAGCCAGCCTTCTCTGTGTGCCCTGCCATTCTCATGCCCTCTAACAGGATCCAGGAAAATCTACTGATATTCTGTATTCCCATCAAACCTGGAAGGGCAAGAGCATGTCAGTTATAGGTTAAGCCTCTTAATTACATGTAATATTTCAACAAATATTTGGCACTTCTATGTGCTAAGCACTGTGCCAAATGCCCGGAAGATGGTCACGATCTGTCCCTATGATGTGGAGGTCTAGAACGAATGCCAGTGTTAAATAACCCCATGCACGGATGCTGAGAAAGGGGAGCCTCAGGGTGCCATGTTAGTGTGGAGGGAGGGCTATAACCGAGTCTCCAGAATACTAGAAAGGTCTCCCTGCTGAAATAAAGCTTCCCTGAGACCTGAAGAAGGAGTTGGTTCCAACCCCACCAAGAGAGCACGGAATCAGGTTCCAGAAATGATGAAAGTACATGAAG